TTCATCTCAGTAGTTCACAAATGCGTCCTTGTCGTTTGTGTGTGTGCAGACTACAAAACATGTCTTGCAAGAATGTCCCTTGTTCATCGAATTAAAACGGGAATTGCACTCAAAGTTTAATGTAACTAAATTGGAACTCCTAAAAACAGTCAAGTTTGTCACACAAACGTGTCTGTCAGTGTAAATCAGTAAGCTAACACAAGAAGAAGAAGAAACATTTATAGTTTCTATTGGAACCAGCCATCTTAGGACACGCATGGTTCAGTAATTATCCACTTGTTAACACAGTGACTCACTGACGAGATAAGGTACACCAATGCCTGCTAACTGGTACAGCTGTCGACGCCAGGAAGCTACTATCTAGACACAAACTGTGACCATACAACACACACACACACACACTCGCAGTTTGAGTCGGTGAATGAATATTCACGTGACCGCTCAGAAGATGAGTCACAACTACCACCATGCTCTCACAGAATGTTGACAGGTCCTAGCCACGTTTCCAGGCCCATCTACACACTTTCTCAGTCTGGTCCAGGTCCGAGGGGCGTCTCGTTGTACTGATTTCTATGTCTTCGTGGAGTATTGAACACGCGACATCAGCGCTGATGTAATTGGAGGCAAGAAAAAAAGTCTAAGAAAACATGAATGAAAGGTCGTTCAGTGTGTAGATGGGTCGAGAAACGTGAATAGAACCTGTTGACATTCTGATCACTAAATGAGTTTTCACACGATTACAGCCAAGTAGTCTGAAACAACGACTAGAAGGAAGTGATCCCCAACAGAATACTGACATTAGAGATTACTGAGTGAGTTTGCACACGAGTCCTTGACAACAACTAACAGCAACTGATTCTTACAAAATATTGACACCAGGGTAGTTGTGTGGCCAAGCAGGTGATTACAGGAAAGAATGTGTCAACACTGCCAAGATGAGTTGATATTAAAGCAACTAAGCCAGAACCAGTAAAGTCTGGAGTGTCGGACACATGGTAGAATCGACTAACTATTACAGAATGTTTATATCCATAAATATTTGCATGTTTAGTGTCAGGAGTGTGAGACAACTGGTAACATAGGCTAACTATTACAGAATGTTTATATGACTGCAAAAGTTGGGACATAGAGAGAATGGCAGATAACAAAGAGAAAAAAACTGCACACAAAAGAGTCAATGGGAGTAGACCACGAGGCAGACCAAGAAGACAGTGGACAGATAATATATACAGCTTGGTGCCACCAACTGGAAAGAGAAGGCCATCTTATAGACCATTGGAGGCAGGTGAGATTTCTGCAGCAATGTACCTTAAAAAAATGAAAAAGAGGACACACATGAAGAAGAAGAAGTGAGACACCTACATCCAACCACACAACACTAGATAAGCACGTTGGTAAATAGTCACTTGCCTACACTTTACCAAATCTCACAAACCTAACCAAGATTTGTTGAGTGCTTTTTCTGAATAAATTTATGCTCTGTAATCTGCCATTGCTTTTTCACTGGTAGATGCTTCTGCTGTTAGTAATCAACACAAAGCAGTCTGATGCTAAATCACCTGCAGCTAACTGTAAACCCTGATGTTTCAGAAGTCACCATCTTTATAACCCTGAGACCATAGATGCTAACTCTGTATATCAACATAAGTAGTCATAGATGCTAACTCTGTATATCAACACAAGTAGTCATCAAAGCACTGGTGTTAGTGGCTGTGTATCTGCTGAGTCAATATCCGATAGTCAGTTGATATACTTGGGTGTGATAGTATCAAACTTTACAGAGTGTGTGTGTGTACTGTATATGTCAATATCAGCCTGTCAGTTTATATCCTTGAGCGTAGAAGTATCAAACTTTACAGAGTGTGTGTGTGTGTATACTGTATACGCCAATATCAGCCTGTCAGTTTATATATACCCTTGTGTGTAGAAGTATCAAACTTTACAGTGTGTGTGTGTGTACTGTATATGTCAATATCAGCCTGTCAGTTTATATCCTTGAGTGTAGAAGTATCAAACTTTACAGAGTGTGTGTGTGTGTGTGTGTGAACTGCATATGTCAATGTCAGCCTGTCAGTTTATATCCTTGGGGGTAGAAGTATCAAACTTTACAGTGTGTGTATGTGTGTGTACTGTATATGTCAATGTCAGCCTGTTAGTTTATATCCTTGGGTGTAGAAGTATCAAACTTTACAGTGTGTGTGTGTATACTGTATGTGTCAATATCAGCCTGTCAGTATATATCCTCGGGTGTAGAAGTATCAAACTTTACAGTGTATGTGTGTGTGTGTACTGTATATGTCAATATCAGCCTGTCATTTTATATCCTCCGGTGTAGAAGTATCAAACCTCACAGTGTGTGTGTGTGTGTACTGTAAATGTCAATATCATCCTGTCAGTTTATATCCCCGGGTGTAGAAGTATCAAACCTCACAGTGTGTGTGTGTGTACTGTATATGTCAATATCATCCTGTCAGTTTATATTCTCGGGTGTAGAAGTATCAAACCTCACAGTGTGTGTGTGTGTGTGTACTGTATATGTCAATATCATCCTGTCAGTTTATATCCTCGAATGTAGAAGTATCAAACCTCGCAGTGTGTGTGTGTGTGTGTGTGTGTGTGTGTGTACTGTATATGTCATATGTTATATATGTTAATATCATCTGTCATCTTGAACCCTTGGTTGAGAAGTATCATACTTTATAATTATTATAAGTAACACCTACTAGAACGCCTACCCTCCTAACTATATACTGTATGTATTAACTAATTACTGTATGTATTAACTATATACTGTATGTATTAACTATATACTGTATGTATTAACTATATACTGTATGTATTAACCAAATACTGTACGCATTAATTATGTACTGTATGTATTCACTATATACTATAAAAGGGGGTATATTAATTATATACTGTTTGTATAAACTAGTCGGCTCTGTGGCTTAGTCGATGCAAAAGCTACGTAATGCCGGGGTGCCAGGTTTGATCCCAGCTGCGGTTTCGACAGTGGTCCAGAAAAACTGTCCAGAAAGAAATGGCAAACTACTGAATGTAAGTTTGAGAAGAAAAACCACACAACAGCCAGGGGCTGCTAGGGTTGGTTCTGCAACGTCCTGTAAAGGATACACAACTAACCTTTGTATTAACTATAAACTGTATTATATATATATAATATGTAACTATGTATTGAGTATGTAACTGTATGTATTGACTACATACTGCATGTATTAACTTTATACTGTGTGTATTAACTTTATACTGTGTGTATTAACTTTATACTGTGTGTATTAACTTTATACTGTGTGTATTAACTTTATACTGTGTGTATTAACTTATGTATTAACTACGTAACTTATGTATTAACTACATAACTGTATGTATTAACTACATAACTGTATGTATTAACTACATAACTGTATGTATTAACTATGTAACTATATGTATTAACTATGTAACTATATGTATTAACTATGTAACTATATGTATTAACTATGTAATTGTATGTATTAATTATGTAACTGTATGTATTAACTATGTAATTGTATGTATTAACTATGTAATTGTATGTATTAACTATGTAACTGTATGTATTAACTACATACTGTAAGTAATAACTACATACTGTAAGTGTAAATATTAACTACATACTGTCATTATTAAAGTAACTTTACAGGACTGGTACTATTAAACGCACGACACTGATGAAAAAGTTGAAAGGGGAATCTGAGCGCCTATGGATGTGTCCGGAGTGCTGTAAAGGTAATCTAACTCATAACTCATAGTTTTAACTATTTACTGTATGTATTAACTATGTAACTGTATGCATTAACTATGTAACTGTATTTACTAACTATGTAACTGTATGCATTAACAATGTAACTGTATGTATTAACAATGTAACTGTATGTATTAACAATGTAACTGTATGCATTAACCATGTAACTGTATGCATTAACTATGTAACTGTATGTATTAACTATATACTGTATTTATTAACTATATACTGTGAGTATTAACTATATACTGTGTGTATTAACTATGTAACTGTATGTATTAACTATGTAACTGTATGTATTAATTATGTAACTGTATGTATTCTTCTTCTTCTTCTTGTTCACCGGCTGTGAATTCCGGCGGTAAGTCGCGGTTGTTCGTCCAAATGGACTTTTGGCTTTTACCTTGACCTGAGTTTTGCGTGTACATCCGTTTTACTGGCTTATTTGTTTGCAGTTCTCACTGTATGTATTAATTATGTAACTGTTTGTATTAACTATGTAACTGTTTGTATTACATATATACTGTATTTATTACCTATGTAACTGCATGTATTAACTATGTAACTGTATGTATTACTATTAACTATATACTGAATTAATTACCTATTTACTGTATGTATTAACTATGTACTGTATGTATTCACTATGTACTGTATGTATTTACTATGTACCGTATGTATTCACTATGTGCTGTGTGTATTTTTTATGTCCTGTATGTATTTATTATGTCCTGTATGTATTCATTATGTACTGTATGTATTCACTATATACTGTATGTATTCACTATATACTGTATGTATTCACTATATACTGTATATATTCACTATATACTGTATGTATTCACTAAGTACTGTTGTATTCATTATGTACTGTGTGTATTAACTATATACTGTATGTATTCAGTATATAATGTCTGTATTCACCTTTCGTTCCCGTCACATTTCCAGGAAAGATGGAAGCTGAAACACAATTGTTTGGGTCCACCCTGTAGTATTTCCAGTGGATTTCTATATCTACATCAACGCTGATCAATATACAAGTTTATTAATCGAATATCAATGAGCCAGATCAACAGTGAATTCCACGCGTTTCCTAATTCAAATGAAGTGTTCAACTTTCAAACAAATAATGTGACAACTGTTAACCGACCGATCATGACAATGATAGTTTATAGTTTATAACATAAATGTTTTTTAGTCAAGAAAAACAAGAACTTACTATGAGGTGACCCTTTCCCAAACGCTGTATTCACATCTGGCGGCATCTTTCTGAACAAAACATCGCCTTGTCTGCTCAACCAGATGCTATGAATGCCGTAATCGTACACAAACTGATAATATTCCTGTATCTGATTATGAAATAAAAATTGGGCACACTGGTAACACACAGCCCAAGCTTGCTCCTCATTAATGGGGTTATTGAACACTTTTAAAATATCCACAAACGGCAACACTTCCATGTTTTCAGAACAACACAGTACTCCAAATGAGGTTAAGCACACGGTTCACACACAAATGACTGATAATGTTTTCGCAAAAGCATTTTCCAGCGTGTTCAGCGTGCGACAGAACGGATTGTCGTTTGAAAACACAGTCGTGTTGGGCGGGCGACCAGCAGGCAGAAGTGACGGGCGGCCGGTAACTCTCTCTGCCCGGAGGTGGGCGCTGGCAAAACTTTGCCGGGACCCTATCCAGGAAACAAAACAAGAGAAGTTTGGTAGTTCTTTGTTGTCTTTCTTGTATTATTCATTTGTGTCTTCTGTGGCAGCAAAACTCTCAGTTATTGCCAGGATGAGAGTCGGCCGATGTTTTAGACAAAGACCCTTCTCAGACTTTCAGACCGGGGTACGAGAGTCGCGAAAGAGACTCAGGTCGTAATACATAATGTTCCTATAATTAGCAGTCAACGTCAGTTTTTATTTTATTTAATGCATGCATGCTGAAAGACAGACAGACAGACAGACAGACAGACAGACAGACAGACAGACAGACAGACAGACAGACAGACAGACAGACAGACAGACAGACAGACAGACAGACAGACAGACAGACAGACAGACAGACAGACAGACATAAGAAACATCAACGGATGCAAACACAATAAAATATTGTACATCAGGTTGACATCCTACAATGTAAAATCATCTGTCTCAGATATTGGAAGCAGTTTTCCGGTAATTACCACTTAGCCAACTCACCAACATACCACCTAATTAACATGCACCTCATTAACATGCACCTCATTAACATGCCACCTCACCAACATGCCACCACACTAACATGCCACCTCACCAACATGCCACCTCACCAATATGCCACCTCACTAACATGCCACCTCACCAACATGCCACCTCACTAACATGCCACCTCACCAACATGCCACCTCATTAACATGTCACCTCACCAACATGCCACCTCACTAACATGCCACCTCACCAACATGCCACCTCACCAACATGCCACCTCACTAGCATGCCACCTCACTAGCATGCCACCTCACTAACATGCCACCTCACCAATATGCCACCTCACTAACATGCCACCTCACCAACATGCCACCTCACCAACATGCCACCTCACTAACATGCCACCTCACCAACATACCACCCCACCAGCATGTTACCTCACCAACATGCCACCTCACTAACATGCCACCTCACCAACATACCACCTCATTAACATGCCACCTCACCAACATGTCACCTCACCAACATGCCACCTCACTAACATGCCACTTCACCAACATGTCACCTCACCAACATGTCATCTCACCAACATGTCATCTCACCAACATGCAACATCACCAACATATCATCTCACCAACATGCCAGCTCACCAACATGTCATCTCACCAACATGCCACCTCACCAACATGCCACCTCACCAACATGCCACCTCACTAACATACCCCCTCCCCGTCAATTGTTCATCAAGTGTGATATAGGAGCTTCTTCCTTTTCTAGAGAATGTCATCACTTGTGTATTGTCTACGTTGATCTTTATTTCGTAGTTGTCGCACAGATCACGATCGCTAGTAACCTGGAACGGCTCTCGTGATGATATCCCTTCATGCCAACGTTTCAACCCATCCATCATCATCTCTCTTGGTCTGCCTCCACCCCTTTTCCCACTGATCTTTCCAGCTGTTACGATGTTCTCCAATGTCTCTCTTCTCATGTTGTGGCAAAGAACAGTGTTTGTCTCTTTCAATGACAACAGACAACAACAGCAACAAAAACAACAACAAACAGCCTGCAGTCTTCCCCGTGTGGGTTCCGCTGCCCTTGTATAGGGAAAACAAGAATAGACCCACTGCCAACCCAAAAGCATGTCGTAATAGTCGACTAATTGGGAGCTTCCTTTAAAGTCGGAGTGCATCTGCCTGAGAGGCAAGGAACCAGCAGTCTGCATACAAATGAGTCAGATCTGTAAAACGAATGAACACGCAACACTCAGGTTCTGGAACAGGACTGCAGTCCAGTAGTGGACGAACAACCAGAACTTTCCGCCAGAGTTTACAGCTGGTGAACGCGAAGAAGAAAGAAGGAAGCCTGCAGTCTGATCTAATCAACAAGTATGTTAAAAACTATTTACGTGTTGTACAATCAGCAAATCTCAAGCTAAGTTTGGCCTGGGGCAATACAAAGATATTTATTATGCACATAAGAGAAAAGAGGATGTAAGGATAGAATCAAGCACGCCAAGTGAAATTGCAAACCTTTGTCTCCGGTAGGCTTTGTTCGTGTGACCTTGCCGTAATAGCTATCTCCAGTTTGTTTCATGACATCTTTGAAGTTTATGGGCAGGAATTAAAGGGGTTGGGGGGGGGGGGGGGGGCGTTGTGGTTACGCAACATGACTACTTCAGCCAGGGTGGTCGTTTGATGTCTGTCGGCAAAATCAGTTACAATTTTAACTCTTTCTATTTAAATTACGCCATAACCAGGGGATGCTGGGGTTGGTTCTGCAACGTCCTGTAAAGGATACGCAACTAACCGATCCAAATTATTTATTTAAAATGGTTTGACATCAAACATTTGTTATTTTAACTTGTTTAATACCGACCGTTTGTTAATTTTAGTTGCTCAGATGGAATCAGTTGATATTGTAAGACATTCTGTCCGAATCGGTAGTTATTTTTACTGGTTCTGTCCGAATTAGTTGTTACTTTTATTGATTCTATCCAAATTATTTGCTACATTTATTGGTTGCTGTCCGAATCAGTTGTTACATGACTATTAGTTCTATCCTAACTAGCTTGTTACTTTTTATTTTTTCTTCCTCTTCGCGTTCACCAGCTATAAACTCTGGCGGAAAGTTCTTGTTGTTCGTCCTTTTCTGGACTGTAGTCCTTTTCCAGAACCTGAGTGTTGTATGTAAATCCGTTCACAGATCTGACTTACTTGTATGCAGACTGTTGGTTCCTTGCTGTCCGAATCAGTAATTACTTGTATTGGTTATGCCCGAATTAGTTGTAACTGTCATGTAACCAATATTTCCTTTAATGTAGATTGAATAACAACCTCATTGAGTAGACAGACTAAAGTAACATTTGGGCGGGTGCAGGTGAATCTCAGAATGTACTGAACAGGGAGCCACGAAAACATATAATATCACCAAATCAATTGACGATTCATTACCTGCTGCATGTAGAGTTATGCGGCTTTGTCAGTCAACAAACAAAGGTTAATCATCGGTGCACAGCCGCTTATGTCGTCAGTTTGGGGACACAGAAGATGGAGATATACTGGGCTTACATAGACCCCAGTTGACAGGAGAAACAAGTGCACCCATGAGAAACACTAAGACGATTGCTGAATTTTGAATTAAGGATCTACATCATAGCACTCGGGACACTTCCATAAGGGCTCCGGCCCCATCTTCAAGAGCCAGCGAAGAGTTCCAATTCCGAATGCACCAGTAACTGTCTCGACTTTCCCTTGAGTGTTGAGCGTCGGCCAGATCCCCTGCAGACTCTTCGAAGTGTAACTTTCCTCAGACCTTCATGAACTATCTGTGCCTCTGCACTGTTCACTCGCCCCTAAAGGGCCCTCACAACATTTAGTTTGCCATACATAAATTCACGACCAAGAGATGCAGAACTGGCCAGCCAATCTGCCTTCTCATTTAACAACACACCGACAGGAGATCTTTGAGCGAGGTCAAAGGTGCTCGACTGGACTGCATCCATGTCATCTAGAGGTTTAGTAAACAGGATAGAACAATGGGAGAATAGATTGCGATCTCAGTGTGGCATGGCGACACAAACTCACAGTATGATGATGATAATGATAATGATGGAAATGAAACTGTTAATGGTGGCTATGATGATAATGATAGTTATGATAGAAATGCAGTTTACAAAGAAGGTGAAGAGCTGGAGACAGTTTACCACTTAACCCACCTGGAATCCTCAGTCATTAGTTAGTTCTTTAGTCGGCTGATTGTCCTCATTACACGTCGAACCACTCAGTCCATAAGTGCTCAGATCCCCTCCTCAGTAAATTCTGCAGCGTGCAGAGGCTGACGATACTAGTTCTGAGTTGGTTTATTATTATTCTTTGGCTTCCCGTACAGTGTGCTACACCCCGTTTAACTTTATCTTCTTGCAGTCTGACAATGGTGGCAGATTCAGTTCTCAGTTGGTTTGCGCAAACGCCTCAAATCTCGCGGAGCATTCAGTATATCAGCCTGGTCCTTGGGTTATGGCGCTTTCACAAAAGACTTACCCGCAAGTCTATCAGCTTGCTTATTTCCTTGTATCTCTTTGTGTCCTGGCAGGAAAATTAAACTAATCCTTGTCAGTCGTAAACACCGTAGAGCCACCAACCACTGCCTTGGGACCCAGCTCTTCTCTACCTTCCTGAGCACACTCATCAAGACACTGAGAAAACATGACCCAGTGAAGGGCTTTGTTTCTAGTTATGTTACCTCACTGGTCACAGCCATGACCTTCATAATCACCCCAGTCATTAAGCCCACAGTCATTAACACCACAGTAATTAACACCGCAGTCAATAACACCACAGTCATTAACACCGCAGTCAATAACTCCACAGTAATTAACACCACAGTCATAAACTCCACAGTAATTAACACCGCAGTCAATAACACCACAGTCATTAACATCGCAGTAAATAACAACACAGTCATTAACACCGCAGTCAATAACACCACAGTAATTAACATCGCAGTCATTAACACCACAGTCATTAACACCACAGTCATTAACATCGCAGTCAATAACTCCACAGTAATTAACACCACAGTCAATAACACCACAGTCATTAACACCACGGTAATTAACACCACAGTCATAAACTCCACAGTAATTAACACCACAGTCATAAAATCCACAGTAATTAACATCGCAGTCAATAACTCCACAGTAATTAACACCACAGTCAATAACACCACAGTCATAAACTCCACAGTAATTAACACCACAGTCATTAACACCA